ATTATGCCCTCTCCCAGGGGTAGATCCTCAAGCTTCTCCCCCAGGCCTCTTTGTCCTCAGTGTCACTTGGGCCACCCCTCTCTCCACGCAAACTGGATAACCAGTCGCACTGCCTGAAGCTCTGACGGAGGTTTGCTGCTCACCACTGGCTTTCAGAGTCACCCATAAGTGAGACGGTAGGGCAGTTGAACCGTTCATTTTTGGCTTGAACTAACATATAAAGTCAACCCACCAATTACCTAGGTTCAGGCATTTTTCCTCTTCTGTCTGACAATGAAAACTTCCCATGGGGTCAATGTTACACTAAGGGAGATGACTGTGCGACAGTGACAGGTGGCCGAGGTGTCCGATTCACCTGCTTATGCCATTTCCTTGTGCCCTCTCGAGCTGCTTAAGCCCAGCCTTGGACGTGCCACTTCCATTTTACAAGAAATAACTTCTGGGCCACCCTGAAGTTATGTCTCACAGCACTCACCTCTTGATGGTTAGTTCTGGCTGCAAAGCCAGCAGATACGCCATGGCAGGACCTTGGTCCAGAATCCTAGGAATCTGTGCCGGGACTCTCATGTTGAAAGCTGTTATGGACTCCACATTATTTCTTTCTGTGTTGTATAAATCTCTACTACCATGGGAGCTGCCAAGTCGTATAGCCCAAGCAAGAGAAGGACTGCTTGCACCACAGCCTATTCTCACTGTAGAGCGCATTCTTGTTCTGGGCTCTGAAAGCTTTCCCTGTCACTCAGTGGATAAAGTCAGAACAATCCTCCCAATTACAGGATGTGTTGCCTTCAAAACTTGAACAGTCTCACCAAGCATAACGCTTCTTTCTTATTGGTAGTAGTCTAAGGTATGATAAGTTACCCTCTGCTTGAGATGTCCTGGTTTTCCCCAAGCAGTTGGACCCCTAGATATTTCACATATTTAGCAAGATTTTGAATCTTTGACGGGTTTATCTATCACGCTCTGGAGTTCCTGTGTCAAATCATAGCCTCTGAAGCACCTGCCACTTCTTGTTCATCAAGTTTTTATTGTTTATTACATGATGTCATCGATATGGTAAATCAATGTGATTTTCTGAGGAATGTTCCAATGGTCTGGTTCCATTTTAACTACTTTGTGACAATAGCAAGAGAATAAACATAGACCTGGGGCAAGACCATAAATGTGTATTGTCATCCATCTCCTATAAATGTAAAATGAAGGATATTGAAGAGTTCCCTTACCCAGCCAAGGTCTATGTACTTGAGGCTGTAATCTGCTCTAGTAAAGGGACCACATCCAACACCGCAGCTACAGCTGGGGTTATAACTTGGTTAAGTTTGCAAGGATCCGCCATCATTTGCCATGATTCATCTTGGTTGTTCAGGAGACAAACTTGTAAATTGAATAGGTATGAGTGGGAACCACTACCCCTGTACCTTAAAGTCTTTTAGGGTGGCACTAGTCTCTGCCATTCCCCTTGGATGCAATGTTGATTTTCATTTACTATCTTTCCTGAAGAAGGCAGCTTCAGGGACTTCTATTTGGCCTTTTTTTTTTACTACAGTAGCTATTACTGGTCAAAGAACTGACATGAGAAGTCTTCCAGCTGCTAAGCATGGCATTTCCAATTGTACATTTAGAAATAAGAGGGAGTTCCCTGGTGGTCCAGTGGCTAAGACTCCGCGCTTCTACTGCAAGGGGTGCGGGTTCAATCCCTGGTCAGGGAACTAAGATCCCACATGTCACATGGTGTGGCCAAAAAACTTTAAAAGAAAGAAAGAAAGGAAGGAAGGAAGGAAGGAAGGAAGGAAGGAAGGAAGGAAGGAAGGAAGGAAGGAAGGAAGAAAGAAATTAGAGGACATAGGCTACTTGTCACTTGGCGTGTATATGCCCTGCCCCTCTCGTAACCCATTGGCCATATTATTTGGGGGTGGTTCCTGAGAATTTGTACCCTGTATCCAATTTCCCTTGAAGGTATTTCTACATGTTGTTGGCTTCCCATGTATTTTTGTCTCTGGGCTACCATTTTCTATTAGCAGTCTCCAAAGACCCATATGGTCAGCAGCAGACCCAGGCTGTCACTATGTCCATTCCAGTAATTCTGACTACATTTGCTTGTGATTCTCAAGTGCTGCCATCTGGCCTCGGCGGTTATTGGCCACGGCCACCCTGGTTGAGAATGAGGGACATGACGTCCTGGCTAAGTGGCTCTCATTTAGCTGAGGATGGTTTTCTGGAAATGGGGGACGCAGTTAAGTGCAAATCCTGAGGCATGAAAGCTCTGGCCAAGTGAAGGGGTCTGGGCGGGCATCCACGGTGTCCACGACAACCACCTTTGGTGCTAGGATAAGAACTGGCAAAACAGCCAGGCACCCTGTTTGCCTGGGAATTTTGTCCCTTCCCCACACCACCTGCTCTGGACAGAACTGCCGACACACATTCAGCAGAGACCTCGGTGTAGGCAGAGTGCGTATGGCTTCCTCAACCACGAGACGGGATAAACCAGCAGACCAGCATCCAGGAATTACCTGTATAGGCTTGTTTGGGTGTTTTAAGAGAAAAGGCAAATATAATACTCGGATTGTGATTTATGAGGACCGGGGCCTATCGAAATTCTATGCCTGTCAGTACATTTGAACACCATCACGCTCTCACAAGAGTCTCTGCGACTCTCTCATGGGAGAGAAAGCTGGGACTCGTCCAGAGCCCTCAGCCAGTCTGACATGGCACAGAGCAGCTCATGAACCTAAGATTTTGAGGCCTGAATTATCCTCTGCATCATGATACTCAGTTCTCAAAAGTGACATTCTAATGCTTTGTCTTTAAATGCAGGTATTATTAAAACTTGATCTGATTGTGAAACTACTGTACCTGTCAAACCTGTGTATGTGTGACTTTAAAAACTAGAAAAATTTTCCCCTTTCTCCTCGTAAAGATGGAATTATTTTCCCTGTGGTGAACATACTTTGATGAAACCAAATTCAAGCCACATGGTATGACAAAGGATTTCACGCTTGTCGTGAAAATTTAGATGTCCTGGAATTTCTGGAAGAAATTGATGGTTCAGGGGAACTAAGCAGGATATTTGAAATGGAGGTTTACAGTCGGCAGAATGATGACCATGAATCACTGGACCTGAGTCTATGTTACAAAGGGGAATAAAGGTTGCAGGTTGTATTCAGGTTGCTAAAACAGAGAAGCAACCTGCTGCTACATTATCCAGGTGGGCCCAATGTAATCATAGGGTCCTTAAAAGAGTCAGTCTGATATATACACTACCAAACGTAAGGTAGGTAGCTAGTGGAAAGCAGCCGCATAGCACAGGGAGATCAGCTCGGTGCTTTGTGACCACCTAGAGGGGTGGGATAGGGAGGGTGGGAGGGAGGGAGACACAAGAGGGAAGAGATACGGGGATATATGTATATGTATAACTGATTCACTTTGTTATAAAGCAGAAACTAACACACCATTGTAAAGTAATTATACTCCAAAAAAGATGTTAAAAAAAAACAAAACAAAAAGAGTCAGTCTGGGGAAGGTGTGACTAGAGAGAAAAGGTATAGAGAGATACCTGGCTGCCTTTGAAGATGGAGGAAGAGGCAAAGAATGTGGGTGACCTGGAGAGGGCAAGGAAATGATTCTTCCTTGGAGGTTCCCGAAGGAACACAGTTTTGACCACACCTTGATTTTAGCTCAAGGAAACTGGTGTCAGACTTCTGAATCCACAACTGGAAGAAAACACAATTTTCAAGCTACTGCATTTGTGATGATTTGGTACAGCAGCAATGGAAACTAATGCAAGATTGTTCTAGAAATCAAGAACGTACTGTATCAATGCCTTTTGCTAATCTCTTTGGTCTAGAATAATTTTTACTGCTTCCGTGTGGGAGCCTGGACAGATTTGGTGGTGGCAGATGGAGGAAAAAAGAGGATGGGCCTCAGCATGTAAAGTGAAAATTTGGAGAGAGAGAAGAAACAAAATAACACTTTGTGTAGACAGCAAACAAGGAGGTGTGAATCAAGTTCAGTGCAGGCTAACTTCCTCTCATCAGTGGATCCAGCAAAAAGGCAATTTATTATCTACTTCAATATTTTCTTTGTTCCTTTTTCACAGAGATATCTTATGTATTTTAAGGAGCTTATGTGTTACTGGTTGTAACTTTTATAATCTTCAAATTTTTAAGATTCTCTAAACAAAATGTGGGTGCCTAGTAACGAGTCAAATTGTGTGCACCGACAATTGTGAAAAATATAAATATCTCGGTACGAAGAAATCTGTAAGCTGAAGACCATTGGAGGAGGCCACATCAGTTGTTGTGGAAACAGATTTCCCAACATAATTAAATCTTTCATTTAATAATAAAAACATCGATCGTCTCGGATCAATTATTTTGAGGCTGCCACCAGAGGGCGCCATAACCCTTTGTAGACGATAAAAGCCCAGCCATGCCACACTTCCCAGGGAGTTTTTATTTTGAGGAAGCAACATTGCAGGGCAGAAAACGAACACCACTGGGACATTTCCAATGTTTTCCAGGTCATTTTACTAGATCTATTTTCTCCTGTTTTTATTTTTATCTTACAAGTCATCCTCAAACACACAGAGCAGGAGAAATGAGTCATGTCTCTTTTTTCAGTTCGGTCAAAGAGGGTAGAAGACAGAACAAAGTACAATGAGATTGAAGGTATCATTCCTACATTAACATCTTGCCCCCAAACACCATGCAGTGCAAAAAACGTCACATCCCCATCATGCAAGGGCGTTAAAATGGTGGTTTAAAATCCTGGGCTTAAACGTAAAATAGATAGCTAGTGGGAAGCAGCCGCATAGCACAGGGAGATCAGCTCGGGGCTTTGTGACCACCTGGAGGGGTGGGATAGGGAGGGTGGGAGGGAGGGAGACGCAAGAGGGAAGAGATATGGGAACATATGTATAACTGATTCACTTTGTTATAAAGCAGAAACTAACACACCATTGTAAAGCAATTCTACTCCAATAAAGATGTTAAATAAATAAATTAATTAAATCCTGGGCTTTATTAAGAGATGCTCGACGTCTCCCTGGGGCATGCTTCCCCTTTGGACTCAAAGAAATATCAAAACAGGGCAGTGAAGTCTTCTCACAGCAGGAGAAATTGAACTATTTTTTAAAATATCTATAAATATCTATTTTTTTCTTCTTTGTTTTCTCTGTGGTCTGTGGTGATGTGAGGAAGAATAGAGATGTGCAGAGGAGGTAAGAACATCACTTCCTGTCTCACAGCATAGAGAAACACGTAGAGGTTCGTTATCTTGTTTGCTGAGATGAGCAGCTCTCAGTGCTTCGTGGAAGGATGGCCCATCCCCAGTCCATTTCCTATGCGTGGCTGAAATCTAGTTTCAGGGGCTTCCATTTTTAGTGACATATTACAAAACCATAGGCAGGACAGTCTCCTCACATTTCTAGGACTCCATTCCTCTTATAAGTGTACAAAAAAAATTGAAAGGTGAAATACATTGGAAAACCCCAATCAAATATCAAATTCTATTAGACGAAGAAGAGATGCATCCTAAAACTTCATTTGGACACGGCAGCTTCGCAACACAAAGTGATGGTTGGATGGGCACCTTGTGTGCCTAAATTACTCACTCAATCGTCTGTGTGGCCTCATCAAAATATTATCTTTCAATCAGAGTATCGTACAAAGAGGTACGTGTCCATGAATTTAAATATGGCTGGAATTGGTATAGCCCCTCTCTTCAAAAGACTTAAAAGTATCTGGATCGTCTCTATGATATTGTTTGTGACTTAGAGGCTGTCTGAGGAAATTAGCATAATTACATGAAAAGGAATTGAAAGGAAAGTTAAGGTCCTAACCCTTAATCACTAAGCTCGTCTCTGGCATCTCCTGACACGTTTTAAAAGGAAAACAAAATAAATGGATCCCTTCCATCCAAGGATCTCACAGCTCCTAACGAGCAGTGTACTTTACAGAAGGAAGGAAAGGAAGCAGAGTGATAAGTTACACCCCAAGCCACAGCCAGCCCAGCAGCAGGTCACTGCAGGAGGGACAGTAACCTCTCAGGCCATGAGGAAGAGACTGTACTCAAGGAAAAGGGGCCTTTGGGTTTCCAGTGGATGACCTCGCAAAAGCTACCACGGCCCTGTGCCCATTGCAGCGCGATGGCATGTACAGTCCAGGTCCAGCTGCTGGGTCCCCGCAGCCACCGCACAAGGCAGAGGCACAGGGAGGAGGGAGACTCACAGCAGCCGTGCCCCTACTTCCTAGCACAACGTAACACAGAGTGAAACCATCCTCAGAAGGGAAGTCACAAGTGAGCAGGTGAGTTTGGTCTAGAAGAGCCGGGTGCGAAATCGTGCATCTCAGTTTAACTTTCGTTTGGGAGGTTCTGCATAGTAACTGTTCTAACTAACAAAGCAAAACATCTCGACGAACCTGACTTTGAAAAGTGACTGAAAAGCTAGACTGAGTAATCTCACGGATCTGTTTTGCCTTTAAGTTAGAGTGGTACCAATGGACTTTAAAAGGTCAGTTAAATATGTATTCATGAAAAGTCAAAGTAAAGCGTTAGAATATATTTGCAAGCCCTGGCCAAAAGCTTTCGAAGCACTTCACTTTAGGAAAAACTGGTTTAACGTTTATAGGTTGGTGCTGGAAACCAAAGAGAAAAAGGTAGAAGAATGCCTTATCATCCCATCCTTCCCTCTGCGATTATTTCTCCTTTCCTCGCCACTTTGGTTACTTTGTGAATCCTAAACAGTCCACCTAATTATGGGAAGAATTAGATGCTGCTAATTACAGAAAGAATCAATGCTGATTTCTAGAGTAAAGAGATTAAAGCACCGGCCTTCAAACCAGAAACAGGGTCCAGTCTGAGGACCTGAATGTTTGCTTCTCTCTGTGCCAACAGTAAACTCACAGAGGGCCAGGTCCCCTCTTCTGCAGGGTCTGAGCCCTGCCCAGTACGCTCCAACTGTTGCAGGAGCACCTAAATGTTTACTGGGCCAAACTGACTAGCATGGCCTTTCAGAAGCTTCTAGTATTACAACTTGCTTCCTGGGTTTTTGGGTTTTTTTTTTTCTTAATGCTAAGGTTGTTTTTTGTTTACAAAGTATTAAGACTTCTTAGTAAAGCTTAGGGAAAATTTCAACAACTATTTCCATTTAGTTCGCAGATAAAATTCAGGGGGTTATTTCCATTTGAATGTCAAGCCACACACACACTTTGACACTATAAAGCCAACGATGTTGTGTTGACAACTTGCTAGGGGTTAGGCCAAAATGGGTCTTTCATGGGTTGTGGTTATTCTTATGGTGAGAAGTATTCATGGTGATTAGCGGGTGAAAACTTTCCTATTGTTTCTCTAATAAAATGAGTTCTCTTAAACGGTAAACCCCAAAAATTCTATTCGTCTTCCATCAAAAGACTGCATTAATTGTGCTTCCTCTGGTTTAGGATACGTAGGCATAAATGGCATAAAACTTAAAGTATATTTACTAGAAGGGATAATGTAAGAGAGAAGTCCTTTTGTGGTTCGGAAGATCGTCTACAACAGATAGAAATCTAAGCATTCTGGAGAGAGAGAGAAAAAAGAGAGAAAGAAGCAGAGAGAAAAGCCAGAAAATAAAGATTATTAATGCATGCCCTACATTTATCCCACAAGATCTCCTGAGCATTCCTCAGACATTATAGTGCAACATAATAACTCCAGTGAATCAATAGTATTCCTATTTTTCTCAAGCAAAAAGTATATACTTTGAAACATATACTGAATAAAACATATAATATCATCTTTTAAGACACTAGTAATTTGAACTTCTATAAATATTCTTAAATAACAAATATATTATATTGAGCTATTCACATAGGACACAAAGTGACACATAGACATACAAAAATAAAACAGTCATGTTTTAACTCTTTTGCTGTTTCTGTTGGGTTGATTTTTTTTAGATACTAAAGATACTAAAACAATTCAGACACCAGAATCATCTTGTCAATATTGATCCTAGGGAATCTGGATGTACATTTATTTATTTATTTACTTACTTATTTATTTATTTTAGGCCGTGCTGCACTGCCTGGGGGATCTTAGTTCCCCAACCAGGAATTGAACCCGGCCCCTCGGCAGTGAGACTGCAGAGTCCTAACCACTGAACCGCCAGGGAAGTCCCTGGTTGTACATTTATACTGTGCATAGCTACCACCCCCAAGGGCAAAGGCAGTAAACATTCCTCGCTGGACATATTACTATGTCCTACAGTGGTTTAGAAAATCTCAGAGGGAACAGAGGTGTCCAAGTGTAATGAGAGAGTTTTCTTTAGCTGTTCTGTGGAAAGGAAACATTAATCAGATCCCTTACCCAAACTGGATAAAGTCTGAAAATATTAAGCTGTCCTTTGAGTGAGTGGAATATAGGCCACGCCTCCTCCTTGGGCGTTCCCGCACACCATTTGCTATGAAGTATTTCTCAACACGTGGAAAAGGCACCACCATTCTGGACCAAAGCCAAGCGATTTGGGTTCCACAATATCACATCTGTCCTGCCCCGGTTACTGCTATAGATAGCATTCCTCCACTCGAAAGATGACTTAGGGAACTCAGCTACGCAACCAAATGGGATATATACATTCTTCTTTTGGAAAACAGAGTATTTCTATGAAGAAGTATCCCTGGTAAAAAGTGATCTTTTGTCCATGGAATGTTGTCATTCTCTTGAGAGCAACAAACAGAGGTGACAGTTCTCACATCCCACCTAGAACTTAGCATGGCCGGGGGCTCCCAGAAGGAACACAGAGACCATTTGCTCAGCTGGACTCCATCCCTCCAGCTGGAATGGAAGCACTGAAACTGCTGATGCAGCATCAGTGTTTGTCTTCACCCCAGTTGCATCCCTAGAGGAGGAGCTGGTGCTTCCAGGAACTGGCTTTCAGTTTTCCTTTATAAGGAAAAATGTTAAGCTACTACCACATCGTGAAGAGTTGCTTTGGGGTAAGATGCAGGGGGGAGAGCATCCTGGCTTGTTCTCAAATAGAATTTTCAATGCAGGCAGAGGAAGGTGGTTTCTCGAGTCCCTGGAGGGAGCCTTCGGGGGTGGACGTAGGGGTCCTCTGCTGTTGATGCTGCTGGTAGATATCCTGGATGAGCAGGGTGTTCATGACCTTCCACTCCCTGTATTTTCTGGCTGTCAGCTTCGGATCATCCAGCAGCTGGTTAATCATGGCCAGGTCATGTTCTTTACACTGTCCAAGTAGAAAAAAGAGAGAGAGAGAGAAGGGAGGGAGAGGGAGAGGGGGAGAGAGAGAGAGAGAGAGAGAGAGAGAGAGAGAGAGAGAGAGAGAGAAGAGAGTGAGATGTGGTGACTATCTTAATTTCAATAAACCATCTTCAGCCCTTTTACAAATAAACTCACATATACCTTGACTGTAAAATTATCAAAGTGTTTTTACATATTAATATGCAAGTCCCTACAACAACCCTAAGAGCTATGGCAAGACACCCATTTACATAGGCTGACCACAAAGAAGGTAGGCATCCCACCCAAGACTTAGGGGAAGAACTAGGCATATAACCAAGGTCTCCTATGTCGCTCTTCCCTGATCAATCCACTATTCCACACTACAGTCATATTTCTATCTCGGTGTGAGCTTTATTCCTCCTGGAATGGATAATTGTATAATCATGCCGTTAACCATCCAAACTTCACTAAGTAAAGCTGGGGCATAGTACTTTTCCTAAGACACAAGTCAGTACAAAAATATATCTTTTTAGAGATAGAGATAGAGATAGAAATAGAAATAGAGATAGAGATAGAGATATATATTGGATCTGGCCCAACACTGAAATAGCCCACTTAAAAACTCATCAGTTGCCTTATGCTTTGCATATATCTTACCCTTTTTCCTTAAGAAAATCCCTTTATCAGGGAGCTCATTATATTGGGATAATCCTATTCCTTATGCCTTGATCCCAATACATTCTACCCTTACATAATGAAATATATATATATATATATATATATATATATATATATTTTTTTTTTTAGGGATTTCCCTGGTGGCACAATGGTTAAGAATCCACCTGCCAATGCAGGGGATACGGGTTCGAGCCCTGGTCCGGGAAGATCCCACATGCCACGGAGCAACTAAGCTCATGCGCCACAACTACTGAGCCTGCACTCTAGAGCCCATGAGCCACAACTACTGAGCCCGTGGGCCACAACTACTGAAGCTCATGCGCCTAGAGCCCGTGCTCTGCAACAAGAGAAGCCACCGCAATGAGAAGCCCGCGCACCGCAACGAAGAGTAGTCCCCGCTCGCCAAAACTAGAGAAAGCCCATGCACAGCAATGAAGACCCGATGCAGCCAAAAATAAATAAATTTATTTTTAAAAAATATATATCTTTTTATTTTCTATTAAATTATACCATTTTTAATAAATTTCACACATTTAATATATACAGAATAAATATGTAGGCTATCATTTTATTCCAAGAAAAGACTATTAAACTTCCATCCAAATAGTGCATATTTCAATGATGCTAGTAGACAGTCTATTCATATTACTTCACCTGCCTCCTCTGTAACCAATGACACATTTCCGAAATGTCTGTCTCAGGTTAGGGGATTTTTCTGTAGTCAAGGAATGGAGTGAAACATAAGATGTATCAGCTGCCACATTCAAGAAAAGATCTCTCAACCTGACACATTTATCTCAAATCTATTCCTGTTCCCTTCATCCCTGTGCACATAATCCCACTTTCGGATACAAAGTCCACTATATCACACTTGACCTGCTGCTACAGCCTCCCAAGTGAGGTTCCTGCCTCCAGTCCCCACTTTGTATCCACCCTCTGCCCGACAGTGCAAGGGGTCCCCCTAAAATTCCAAATATTCTTAATAGTTCCCCTTCATGCCCAAGGTTCCGTGGACATGAGCCCATCCTCCACTTCCTTCTTCCTTTCCTCTCTAAGAGTGTTGATGTGGATTTTCTCCCCGACACGCTGCTACTTCATACCCCCGGGATGTGCCACACAGAGGACCTTCTCCACCTTCCTTCACTGGAGGACTCTAATTCCTTGAGGGACCTTCACATGGAACATTTCCCAGTTGTTTTTTTTCACTGGATTTTACTACAACTCATAAAGGTATACTCACTTCAGGCATCATGCTCTCCAAAAAAACCTCTGAACCCCCAGATTGAACTGAGAAGCTTTTTGTATGTTCACGTGCCTTCCAATGCTGGGATCCAGCCCTCTTAGAACTTACCATGTTACGCTGAGATGTTCATGGCTCTGTCACGCCACCTATTCTAAAGCTTCTTAAGGAAGGTGACAGGGAACATATTTTATTCATTCCTGTGTTCCCTGTACCTAACACAGTCATGAATGACAGGCAGACATTCAATGCCTGTTCATTACTGAACTAATCTCTCTGCCTAGATCCAGGTCAGCACGTGCTAAACATTCACAACTGTGCTCACGGGTCAAAGTTCAAATTCATGACCACTGCCATTAAATGGACTTTCACTACTATCCAATAATTGTGTTTTCTTACCCCTTTTCTCTCCCCCTCTCCCAAATGACTATTTCAAAACTTCTCATTTCTACTCAAATCTCCTCCCCAATCCTCCCTTGTAGCTGATGACCCTGCTCTTTATTTTTTTGAGGAAATGGAAACTATCAGAAGAGTAGTTCTCCCAAGCTCCCAGCACCTTCTACTACATCAGCACCAAGCTGCCTTCCTTCCTGTTCATTTGGGTGAAGTATCTGTGCTCCTAGCGAAGCCCGATCTCTCTACTTGTACAAGTGCTTCCTCTCTCACATTCAAGAAATTCACTTCCGCAATTCTCCCCTCTTTCCTGTGACTCGTCAGTCTCCTGTCTCCATGTGATCATTCTCACGGGCGTACAAGCATGCTCTCATTTCTCCCATCGTAAAAGCCCTCCCCTGAGCCGACTTCACTATTCCTGCCAACGTTCAGCTCTTCTCTGCCTCCAACGTCCTTGTGCCCGTTCTTTCACAGAATGTCTCCAATCAGGCTTCTGCCCCCATCCTTCCACCAAAACTGCTCTGGTTAGGGCCCTCTATGACCACCATGCTGCTAAGTCCAATGATCAATTATTCATCTTCAACTTATCAACAGCATCTAAAACTGTTGACTACTCCTTCTTGAACACCTTCATCATGTTGCTTCTGTGACACATTTTCCTGAATCTTCTCGTCCCAGAGTGACCGCTTATTCTCAGCCTCCTTTGCTGGTTCCACCCAATCTTTTAACACTGGTATGCCCCAGAGCTCCAGATTTAGCCTATTCTCTGTTTTACTTACCTTCGTGCTCTTGGAAATTTCACGTACTCTCTTCCCCTCTCCCTACACACTGAGGGTCCCAAATCTACCTTGCCTTACCATCGCCCTGAACACCATACTTGTTGATCCCTTCAGCAGCTCCACTTGGGCGTCTCCAATAAAATGTATCCAAAACTTACTTCCTGTTATTCTCAATACCCCCATCTACTCCCAATACATACTGAAACCTGCTCCTACCACAGTCATCCTCAAAGCACCTCATGGCAACTCCATCTTGCCAGTTGCTCAGGCCAGACACTGGAGTTGTCCTTGACTCCTTCTCTTACTCCCAACGTACCAGAAAATTCAGATGGTTCTACCTTCAAAATATGTCAAGCTATGGCACAGCTCTGTTGAGAACTTTCCAAAGGCTTCCTATCGCACTCTGAGTTGAAGCCAAGGTGTTTGCAATGTCAGCGAGGCATTACAGGCTATGATCCCCTGCTGCCCCTTGGACCCATGGCTCTGCTCCCCGTCTTGCCTCCCCACCCCATTCCAGCCACACTGACCTCCTTACCCGTCCTTAAATGGACCAGGCACACCCCCATCCCAAGGAATGTGCGTTTTTGTCCCTGTTACTCGAAACATTCTGCCTCAGGTAGACTGAAGGCTCACTCCCTTTCCTTTTTCAGATTTTACTCAAATGCTATCTTTTAAAGAGGCTTCTCATACTTATCCTAGTTACAAATCAGTCCCTCAACATTCCTTATTCCCCTTCTCTCCTATTTGCTATCAAATGTATCATCACCTGGCACACTACCAATTTAACGTATTTATTTTGTTTATTTTTTTCTCCATCTAAATGTAAGCTTCATGAGGTCAAGCACTTTTGTCTGATATATAGCCAGGTGTCTGAAAGAATGACTGACACACAGTAGACTTTCACTAAATACCTGTTGAGAAAAATGAATAAATCAAATAAGAAGTGAATGAAAGACCTAGTCACCCATTTGCCTTTTAACCTCTTTTACATCATGAACCCTATTTAGAGTCTGAGGAAATTCTCTCCATAAACGGACAAACAAACAAACAAAAATATATATATATATATAATTATATATGTGATATACATATTATTGATATATCTGTACTATATCTACATAATATATAATATGTTATATAGATATATATTACAGATATATAGGTAGATACAGGCATAGACATAGACATAGACATAGACATAGATATATCCACACATTTGCATATAGTTTTAGGGATTCTAAGCATTGGCAGCATATATTTTATCCAAATGAGGTATCTGCTCATGCATGATCCCAAATATTAGTGGCACACAAATGTATTTTCTGTCCTCTACAATTAGCTTTAACTTACATTTTATTTGGGGTGTTTTATTACATTTTCTTCTTTTCCTACTTCTAGACTGGTCAGAATTATATTGATTTCGAGGGAAAAGTACCACACATATAGTGATCTGAGTGGCGAGATTTATAATTTTACAGCCAGAGAGCAAGGGTGTGGTGATAAATGGAGATCAAAAGATATATTTGGGTTTCAGGAAGGAGAGAAAACTGTGCAGTAGGGAAGTAACCAAAGAGGGATATGAAGCAGGTTGGCCAGGACCCAGAAGCAGAGGGAAGAAAGGTTAGTTAATAAGTGGGTAACTAAGAAGGATTGCTGGTAGAAAGTCAAGCAGGACCAAAAGAGTTTTCTTTCTTCTCTCTGAGTTCTCCACATCTCTACTTCCAAAAACAATCTTTTCCGAAAAAAAAAAAATGCTTTCATTCTCTAATATTACCATAGTTCTATTCATATGAAGTTACTTAAGGAGTGTTACTTTGTTCTTAAGAAATTTTGATATCTGTGCAGAGAGAGATCCTAATATTTTACTGAAAAAAACGAAATAAGATCTTTGCAGATCAACCAAATTTGGAAAATTGATTTTTTTAAGGTAAAAATGAATTCACCACCACTCTAAAGGGGATAAAAGGTTTTAGGAAAGGGTCTCTTCAACTAACACTTCTCAAATGGTTTTTAGCTCTAAATAATTCAAATTTCTTACCATTCAGCTCAAGTCCATGTTAGTTCTTTTATGGATAAAAGAAAAAACTGTAGATAAGAATAGAGAGGAAGGAAATTAATGCAACAACTTAACCCTCTGAGCGCCTTCCTTGACTCGGCACCCTGGGGTCAACAGGCATCACGCAAAGGCCCTGCTTCTCCCCTATAGAGCAGCGGGCTCACTGGATGCTTTGAACCACTTTGACAACATACTCCAGGCATTCTGGCAGGCAGGCAGGGTCTGGTAGGGGTTCTGAAAAATAATGTACTTCCATTCTTCACTCCAAATATTCAGTACATGGCTTGCCTTAAGACCTAAGCACTGGAAATGTGTTCTACCAGCGCAGGTGGGCAAAGAAGTGCTCGTTCCTCTTTTCACACAGGCAAGAGGAATCTTGGGAGAAAGTTTCAGTTGGACCCATTAATCATTCCATTAATCATTCATTTAAAAATAAATACAGGCTTAGCCAAAAGTCCGGGGATGTGGAGCTATCAGAAACTCCTAAAGGTCTAATCTAAAGGCCTTTAGTGTGTGACATGATAGTTTGTTCAACTTTCTAAAAGAATTTCCATGAAGAGCATTCATTCCAATACAGTCCCAGTGAGAGGATTTTTCTTCATTTCTGGAATGTGCCTATTACTAAGACAAACATTATTATTCAAACAGTTTCCTTGTTTCTGCATGAAACTGTTCTTTTTGCTTGTCCACACTCCGGCTTTGAAATATTTTTTAAGTAAACATTTATATTGCAACGTAACACACATAGAGAAAAACGCGCATACAAGGTTTGTGCTTGATGCAATTATCACAAAATGAACACATCTGTGTAGCCACCATCAAAGTCAAAAAAGTCTTATCTCAGAAGCTTTACTTGTGGCCTCTCCCAGTGCATATCCTCCCCTCCCCCTCAAAGGCAACCACTATCCTGACTGCTTTGAGTTTTAAAGACAGTTAAAATAATTCTGATAGCTTTGTGACATGAATGAACATGATGTACCAAATAATCTTTCTCTAATGAATAGGTTGATGTGCTTTTTCTCTTTTTTTTCAACAAGGTCAATTTCCACATCATCATGTCCTCCTCGGAGGTTCACAGGAATACATAACGTGGGGTACATTTCATCAGCCCCAGCGTAAGGGATCTGTGGAAAGGTCTTCTTTCCAGAAATGTTCAGAGAGTGCAGTTCTTCAGCTGGGTGGGGTAGAGAGCCCCTGAGATGGCCCCAATGTTCCTTGCTCCCCGGTACTCATGCCCTTCTGTAATTACCCTCCTTGACTGCAGGAAGGCTGACCTAGCGACTTGCTTCTAATGAACAGAATACTGTAAATGCGATGTGATGTCACTCCTGAGATTGGGGTATAACCCACCCTGCTCGCTCACTCTCGCAGCTTTACTGCTCTGCAGGCAGCCAGCTTCTATTTTGGGAACTGCCCTATGACGAGACTCACATGGGAAGGAACTGGGGGTGGCCTCCAGCCAACAGACAGTGAACAACTGAGACCCTCAGTCCAACAACCTGCGAGGAACTGAATCCTGCCAACAACCACGTGAGAGAGCTTGGAAGCACACCCTCCCCCAGTGGAGGAATGAAAACTGATGCCTGGATTACAGCCCCAGCTGTATGCCTGGATTACAGCCTTATAAGAGACTCTGAAGCAGAAGCACCTAACCAAGCCACACCCAAATGCCTGACTCACAGAAACTGTGAAATGATGAATGTCTATTGCCTGTAGCTGCTAAGTTTGTGGGTATTTTGTTCCCTAGCAATAGATAACTAATACCTGGGAAGAAAAGAAAAAGATGCTGAGTTCCTCAAGCCTGTGGCCATAGTGCATGGAGAACAAGACATCACAGAGAACCAGCTGCGTCAGTAAAACCTTTGAATTCTTTGTACAAACCTGCGCTCCCAGTTTCCAAGCCCCTGGCCATGGTCGGATGAAGGTCCAGAATCCTGAGTTTCCTGCTCTTTGGAAAGCTGAGACCACCGTCTTTCTCCTTCTAGAAGTAGCCTGAACTGTCCAGGCTCTCCTTAGCCTCTATTCCCTACTTCTCCCAATGTGGGCTGCAACATCTCATCCACTTTTATGCATCTGCCTAGGCCAGCTCCTCCTCCTTGAATGCACTTCCTTCTCTTCCTGATTTTCTTCATCTCTTATGATGGGCCAGTTTCAGCATCTCCATGGCATTGTCCCTAATGGCCTCAGGTAGGCAGCTGTTTCCCTCCTCTGGGCTACCAAAGCTGATATCAACTATAGCACTTATCACATCTCATAGCAATTGTTTTCCTTTATGTTTCCATTGTCCAGTGGGGTCTTCTCAGTGGTCCCAGTGTCCTAGAGTAGTGCCTCATACATAGTAAGAGTCGGAAAGTATTTGTTCAATAAAAAATGTATTCACTCGTATCAGTTATCACAAATAAGACAGTAAAATCCCAACACAGTACGGCATATTACATTGGATGACCAAACACATTTATCAACTCTGTAAATACTATGGAATAGAACATATTTGACTTTGAAATGAGTGCTAGTGATGTCTTTCATCATTAAATGCTAGGGAATTTCCTCTACATTTGGGTTTTCTTTGTATAAATAAAATACACCTTTGCCTTTTATTTTTCAGCCTTATTTTTACAAGGCTTTTAGGGGGCTTAGGTCTTCCACTGACTCACTGGGACATCTGACTGAGAGTCACTCCACCATCTTTTGTAGCCTTGTCCTTTTGATTGCTGATATTTCTTCCTGGAGAGGGATTCAAATTCATGATGCAAAAGGACATGTACAAAACAGCATTAAATTGCGGGTCTGCAAGGCTTTCCAGAATCTATAAATCTTCTGCTAATTCAGGACTGTTTTACCAAGTATTCTGGCCTCTACTTGTTTGTGCTATAATCTCAACGTGAAAGCGGGATGCTTTTGTTATAAAGAACCATTTTAGTTATGGGAGGCCATGAACATAGCTTCAGTACGTCCTGTGCCCTGTGTCTTATTCTCACTGTGAAAACATCTGCTCGTCTGCTACCGTGAAGTGTCTGTTTCCCACTGCCCAGCTCTCATGGTGTTCTTGGCTCCAGACTCAAGAGCTTAGCATCATGTAAGTCTGCTATATCTGAAACGTAGGAAGTTTCTTCTGGATATAGTATAAAAGAACGGCACCCTTTAATGAATCAGGCAAAATCCCAAGATCTTATTAAATTTTACTGTGTATTCTCACCAGTTGACTATCTCAGGCTCTCAGCAACATTTATTATTCCAGGTCGTAGGGTACAAAAACCAATTACACATGATCCTTGCCATGTAGGAGCTCAGTATTTGAAATTTTACACCAGAGGGAATGCAAAAATCAAGGCCTATTGTAAAAACAAAACAAAACAAAACAAACAAAACAAAAAAACTGCATTGGGTGCTACTGTGTGAATTTCCCACTGTTTTAAGAATGTCAAGGGTCAACTCACCCTATAGAGACTGTATTGGCTTTTACTGCCTTTCCCTACCCTCCACCCACACATGTGGTTAGCATAAATCATTCCACAGAACCAGCCTTTTCTCACGCCACATCCACAGAGTTCATCCACAGTCCGAAATTTCTTACCTTTAATGTGCTGTTCAGAGTCCGGATTTTGTGGAGCTTCTCATTTATGGATGGATTTTTGCACCGCTTGACAAAGGACTTTCTCAACTCCTTTTTGGTTGAAGGTCGCCGGTCCCCAAGAGGAGAGAGACTAGCTTGCTCTAACGATTTGTAGAGCTTCTCCATTTCATCATCTTCAGACACTTTTGTCTCTTCTATTAAAATAAATAAATAACAATAAACCCAGTTAATCAAGGACAGAACATTTGACATGGTCCTAAAACAAGGCCCTCCTGATACCTTGATCTTAGGCTTCCAGCCTCCAAAACTGTGAGACATAAATTTTTATTGTCTAAGCCGCTCAGTTGGTGGTACTTTGTCATACCAGGGCCATGTTCCCTTTGAAGGCTGTAGGGAAGGATCTGTTCCAGGCCTCTCTTCCAGCTGCTGGTGGTTCCTTGGCTTGTGGCAGCATAACTCTAATCTTCACATGGTGTTTTACAGTGTGCATGTCTCTGTGTCCAAATTTCCCCCTTTTACAGACACCAGTCATATGGATTAGGGGCTCACCCTATTGACCTCTTAACTAATTACACCTGCAAAAAATAACCATTTCCTAATAAGGTCACATTCTGAGGTCTCAGTGGTTATGACTTCAACACAGGAACTTTGGAAGGACACAATTGAACCCATAATAGTACATAATCTAACCTCCCAAAATTTATGTCCCTCTCACATGCAAAATACATTCACTCATCCCAACATCTCCAAAAGTCTTAACCCATTCAAACATCAACTCTTAAGTCTCAAATCTCACCCAAATATCATCTAAATCAGAGATTGGTGGGACTCAGGGAATGATTCATCCTGGGGCAAAGTTCCTCTCCACCTATAAACCTGTGAAACCAAGTTAGTTCTCTGTTTCTAAAATACAATGGTGGGGCAGGATAACCTTACAAACCAGTACACACTCTAAAGCTTGAGAACCATTGTCCCAGATCACTTTTTAATGTCCTTCCTAGAACTGTTCTTTGAATGAAGGAATCCACCTGTGGTCTGTGGCTTTCAGCAGATAATAATAATTCCTCATGCCACACACCTCCCTTCTCTTTGTTAACCACACCTTGCCAGCCTCAGCTCAAATGCTTCCAGTAAAGTGACTCCACCCAGGATCCGGGGGGACCCTGGATGTGCTAGGCTGAGCCAGTGGCAGTTCCATCATGCTAGCCACAGTCATTCACCCAGGGATGAGCACGTGTCTCAGATCAGGCCCACTGGGGCCAAAGAGACTCAATTCTGAGACTTTGGTTTGGGGTATCAGGGAATCAATTTCTCTATTTTCCTAAACGGAGTGGTGTGATGATGTAACCTGGAAGATTCCAGAAATCATGCCAAGAATCATGAGAATGGAGCCAATCCATAGGATCCAACTGACACATGGATTTCGGTGATAGCATTACTGCCCTCTTAGCTTATGGGAGCCAGTATATTGCCTTTGTTAAGGTATTCTGAGTGTCGTTTTCAAGCATGTGCAGCTGAAAGAGTCTCAAATGATACAGAAAGTTACTCAAAGAAAACCATCTCTTGATGGTGCTTTAATTTCTTACTAAGAACTTCAGTCCTTTATTCACTTCAGTCTGAAAATAATGTTGGGAAAGATAGACAATAAGATTGTTTTCTACCATGTACTCTCTAGTGTCTATGCATTTTAGCTCCCGTCCTGAGAACAAGCTTGATAGAGGATCATACAGGAAGTATGGCCTTAGAAGAACTGCAGAAAAGGTCTCACCAAAGAGAAAAGCATACAACAGTAGTTTAGCAGCATCAAAATTAAGCGCACTCACTTACTTTACATTTACTCTTATAAGATTAAGTGTCTTTAGGCAATAGTTTTCCCCCTTCTACTACCAGAAAGCCCACAGGTGTGCCCAATACTCTTTCATAAAATGAAGAGCAAAGATGTTGGGCTAACTTTGCAACTAAATTAAAGTATTGGTCAGTAAACTTCTTTGTTCACTACAATATTATTAAAAAAGGAGAAAATATTCAAAACTACATTTCAACACAATTAGAGTTTTTGGCTCAGGCTGTGCAGACATCAAAAGTAGGTTTTTGTCAATAAGCACATGAAAAGATGCTCAGTATCATCAGTCATTAGAGAAATGCAAGTCAAAACCACAATGAGGGCTTCCCTGGTGGCGCAGTGGTTGCGAGTCCGCCTGCCGATGCAGGGGACATGGGTTCGTGCCCGGTCCGGGAAGATCCCACATGCCGCGGAGCGGCTGGGCCGGTAAGCCATGGCCACTGAGACTACGCATCCAGAGACTGTGCTCCACAACGGGAGAGGCCAAAACAATGAGAGGGACGCGCACCCCAAAAAAAAAAAAAAAAAAAAAAAAAAAAAAAACCACAATGAGATACTATTTCACACTCATCAGGATGGCTAAAATCAAAAAGGCACAATAAGAAGTGTGGCCAAGGATGTGGAGAAACTGGAACCCTTAAAGTTGCTGGTGGGACTATAAAATGGACCCACCACTTTAGGAAACCGTTTGGTAATTCCTCAAAATGCTAAATGTAGCATTTTAAGTTACCATATGACCCACCAATTCCATTTCTAGTTATATACTCAAGAAAATTAAAAACATGTTAACACAAAACTTGTGCATGAATGTCATGAATGATATAGACAAAAGGTGCGAACAGCCTAAATGCTCATCAACTGATGAGTGGGGTAACAGATTGTGGTACACGCATGCAATGGAGTATTAGTCATTAAAAGAAATGAAGTACTGACACATACTAAAACATGGCTGAACCTTGAAAAATTCTTCGAAGTAAAAAAAGCCAGTCACAAAAGACACATACTGTATCGTCCATTTATAATGAAATGTCCAGAATAAACAAATCCATGGAGACAGAAAGTAGATTAGTGGTTGCCTGGGGCTGAGGAAGGGACAAGTAGGAACGGGGAGTGACTGCTAATATGTATGGGGTTTTTCCTGTGTGTGGTGCTAAAATGTCCTCAAATTAGATTGTGGATCTAGTTGCACAAGTCTATGAATATACTAAAAACCACTGAACTGTATGTTTTTGTATGTGAATTTTATGGTATGTGAAGCATACGTCAATAGCGCTATTAAAAAGTAGACTTTTATAAGATTATCATGATAACCGATGACACTTGCATAGGAGAAATACTAAGCATGGCAACAGTCCTGGAGTTAAACTGGAGACATTAGAAAGTCTTAAGAAATCTAAATGAAAAGACATCTGACTCTTAGAGCGGAACATTAGCATTGGCGACTCTGGGAGTTTTCAGTCCCACAAGAACACAATAATTGTACACATCATTTTTTTACAGATAGGCAGGTGGGGACTCTACCTCAAATAAAGCCTGAATACATAGCTTTTAATACCACAGTATTTTTAAAGTAATATATATTTAACAAACCTCAAGAAACAAACCAAACAAGTATACAACAAAGAAGATAAACAGAATGACTTCTTTGCTTTCTCTGTGTTCACCAAGCTGCTCAGTTGTGCTGCTAAAGATTGTGATAGAAAATAAAAATACTTTCGACTAACACATTAATTTGTAATTATGTCAGAGTAAAATGATTATATTCAGATCTTATATCTAATTCAACAATATTAAATCAGTAAAGACGAAAATAAACTTTAGAATCTTGAAATAACATGGCATAAAGTACATTCCCTAAATGAAAAATAAAGAGGACCGCCTCTTTGGATAATTTTATTATTATTTAATATATTTATATCAATATATATTACCTTTAAGTTAAAAATATCAGAGATTATCGCCCTTCCACACACATATTCCTGTCCCTATTTGCCTTTTTTGTATCATAATCTGAGAGATATACAACATATTGCTAGATACTCATGGGAAAGACCTGTGATCTAACCTCATCCATGACCTAAATGGGGATTTTATACTGTTTTACTGTTACTCATGGCTGGTGCCTAGGTCTTCACAGGACAATAAAATGAACATCCAGTAATAATGGAAGCAGATGATAAATAGGATCATAGGACAAAAAAAAGACCCAAAGGGTACAAGCACACAGGAAAACACAGCTTGCACCTGACCCCAAAGCCGGGGTGAACCGAGTCCTTCCTAACGGTTGTATGGAAGACTAGCGCTGGCTGGCTAATCCTACAGGGCTACCCCTGTACCTTTCAAAGGCTTCTCAATAGAGTAATATTTTAAAAAATCTCCATTTCACCTTTTTTAAATAAATATGTTTCTAAATTCTAATATCATATTAGGAAACATTACATTGTTCCCTTATCTTACCAGATTATAAAAAGAGCAAAAAAAAAGATTGGCAGAAAAGACCACTGGTCTCTCTCCCTCTGGAAACAGAAGCCAAGTTAATTATTTCTATCTCCCTTGTCTTCTGTGGCAAAATGAAAGACTTTTGTCTGACAATCAAGTGTTTTCAACGCAACTGTTATCCTTCCTCTCAAGTGCATATTTTAGTCTCTTACATAAAATAACAGGACTTTAATTTCCTTCTCCACATAAGGCATCACGCCTCACGAGTTCTTTGCCAAGGAAGATGAAAACTATTTTTATTTTATAGATGAGAAAAAATGTGGAGATTCTTGGAAAACAGTAAGTGATCTTTCCAAAATGTAAAGCAGTGTGGAATGAGGAATAAAAGTTTGCTTCCACACTGTGCAGGCCCAGGCACTTCCGGAGCAGTCTTCTCCAACTTTAATAAGCAAACAACCACCTAGGGATCTTGGTAAAATACAGTTTCTGATTCATTCAGTCTGGGATGGCGGGCACTGAGACGCTAAATTTTTAAGGAGCTCCTAGGTGATGTCTGAAGTGCTGGTCCATGGACATACTCTGAGTAGCAAGGCTAGACTGCTTCCCAGCAATTAGTCATGCAGAAACAGCCTCAGCTCACCGGAAGAGAAAAGGACTGAAATTACAGCTAGAAAGTTGAGACTTGTCCAGAAAGCAGCATCTATTTTCTCTGTGCCATATCATAGTTTTTTTAAAAATCTGGCTTGCTCAAGGGAGGGTTCCAGAATCCCTGCTCTAAAGCATCAGTATCTCAATATTGTTGAGTTGGTAGGAATTTGAGGTAAATGTTAGTGACCCTTTACTTCTGTTAGACTGGCTCAGAATGTCTGGAGGGGTCAGTCTAGAAAACGTTCTCCAAACTTAGGTCAATAA